AGAATGAGCTACCACTGCACTGTTGTCGGGAGATGAGGGGGGAGGAGGGGGGAGGGCGGGTGAAGTGATTGAGAGATAAAATATTTGGAAATTAAATAGAAGAAGAACCATGCAATGGGCTTAATAAATAAAGGAAAAACACAGAAAAGATAATGAGCAGCAGAAAATAAATCTGCTGATGTGAATAAATGACCCCCCCCACAGCCTCGTCTCCCCCACAGCCTCGTCTCCCCCACAGCCTCGTCTCCCCCACAGCCTCGTCTCCCCCACAGCCTCGTCTCCCCCACAGCCTCGTCTCCCCCACAGCCTCGTCTCCCCCACAGCCTCGTCTCCCCCACAGCCTCGTCTCCCCCACAGCCTCGTCTCCCCCACAGCCTCGTCTCCCCCACAGCCTCGTCTCCCCCACAGCCTCGTCTCTGCTGTTCCTCCTTCTGTAACAAAATATTTTAAACCATATCTGCATTTCCAGGCCCTGCAGTAACGTGTTCATGTTCAACTACAGTAAAGTGCACGTGCTGATTACTCCACTGTATCACGTCGCCTCCTCCACATTATAACACAGTGATTCATCCACAGTTAATGCATTCAACTTCGGCCATTTATTTTTAATCAAGCCAATTTCATCTTAATTCCTGGCTCGATGGCACATCGATCACTTCCTCCTCCTCCCTCCAACTCTGTGAATGTTAAAAACTGTGTCACAGGACGGGGTCCATTCATTTGCCAGTGTCACACTCACTGTTCAACACTGGCAGAACGGATCCTGAAGGAGGAATATCATTAGTGAAAACGTTCCCCCTCTGGCAGAAAGTGCTGACTGCGGTTTGACTGCTACACGGCGACGTAGTGACAATAATAATTTTCACACCAAACTTTTTGCATAAACTCAACTCTGCTGATAAATTACAGGGTGAGTTAAACAAAAAAGTCATGCACCAAAAAAAAAAAAATCCACCTCCGTTTTTCTGCGGTGAGAAAAAACCCGCGGCCGTCATCGTGATGGCGTGACGCTCATTCATTTTTCTCTCTGGACTTTTCTCTGTCACCCACAATCCTCCACAGAGTTTAGAGACACCACTGGCCCAGTTTTGGTGTACAAACTCGTGGGTTGTGTCCAATTCCCGACGAAGATGAACTGATCTTCATTGGAGCTAACGAAGACTTCTTCATCGCCTCGTGTCCCGACTCTTTATCATTAGTCACAACTTCACTGTCAGCTGTGATTAAAAAGTTTCTGACACTAACTTTACGTTTCTTTTCTTTCTCAAAAGACAAATGATTTGCTTCTACCCAGCCAGCATTTCCTCATGTGTCCCACATGAGTTCACTGGGGCTAAATGGCTGCAGTGAGCAGAGGTTTGAACCATTAAAAACACATGAGGGACTGGAGCTGGTCTTTTTATACCACGGATGGAAATTTAAGCCTCGGGAAAACAAAAGAAAAAAGAAAAAAAACGGACGGAGTAGCGGTAAAAACGAAAGCATTTTCTTTAGTCATTTTAAACATTTGGAGCCAACACCTTCAGACCCCGGTCTTTGTCAGGAAAAGGTTTTCAAATCCAGATGTGAGATCCTATTTAGATTTAGTCATGTGACCTTGTCAACTTGGACGCTGCCTCATTTATATACAGGGTTTTTTTGTGTACTGTACATAAATGAGTCATTAAATAGAAAATGTTTTTACACTTTTTACACTAAATTTTTTAGCAGTTTTCCCTGTTGAAAAAATAAATTAAAAATAAATATTTATTTTATTTATTCCTTTTTCATTTTCTCTGTATTAATAATTGAAGAGATGCGGCTCTTCTTTAATACTTTTAAGCTGAGCTGTCCGTGGTGCTGATTTCACTTGTTGCTGCTGACTCTGTTATTGTACTACGCTCTCGCTTATAGCTCACTCGTAATGAGAAAATCAAAATGAAAAATGAAAAAAAAAAACATAAAAAAAGAGTGAAGAACATGATGAGTGGGCATCATATTATGGGATGTGATGTGACTGACACGGATCAACCTGCTCTGGTTACTGCTAACTAACAGCTGGTGTCACCGTTCTGTGTTAATTCTGAATTAGTAAATGATTTCTTTTTCTTACCCAGTCTCCATCCTGACCGTGGTTCACCTTGTCCTCGCCGCTGCCCTCAGTGCAGTTGCTCCCAGCTCTCGTCCCCCCTCCTCTCTCCTGGCTGTCGCAGGTCCTCGGGGTCCCTCCGTCTGACGTGCTGACTCCGCTCGGCGCCGTCCCGTCGCGGCTCCCCGCGCAACTTCCTATTCGACTTCCCACACCGAGGTCCGCAGCGCCGATGTAAACTGCCCCCGACTCCATGGTCCCCACCATGGCCGCCTGGTTCTGGATGACCAGGGAGTGGTCAGGCTGGCCTCCAGGGAAGCGATACCCCAGCTCAGCCAGGCCCGGTTCAAAGGCGCCCCCTGGTGCTCTTCGCAGAACAGGCAAAGTGTGGCTGCTGTAGCAGAGGCGTCCGTACAGCGCCCCTCCAGGTCCGGAGTAGTTGTGATCCATGCCGGGGTTCTGAGCCCAGCTGTAGGTGCGACCTTTCTCCTGGGCCCGGTGTGAGTAACGTCTGCAAAAAAACAAACAAAAAAACCAACTGAAGTGTTTTGTGTTTTGTTTACGTAACATTTTATGACCAGAGAGAGAGATCGTGAATAAATGTTCTTAAGTTCCTGGCCAACACTTTCTCCACTGGTGCCAATGGCACAACAGTTCTTGGCACCGATGCTCCGTGGAGCAGTATATTCACAGTGTGTGGCTGCTGTTGCTCTTATTTAGTGCAACCAAAAAGAAGCTTTTGTTAAACCTGAACTGAAACACGACGGGTGATTGATTTTTAAACGTGAGTGGAATTGAACGCGTGCTCCTATAGAATGTGGTATTTAATTATTCATACTTCAATATTATGGTACACAGTACATTATGCACGTTGGCACAGGCTCTGCTACATCATGTATTTCATTATAATGAACTAATAAATGTTTGTGTTGGAGCCAAATCCACGGTGTGATGTAAAACCTCAGCGACCTTTGATCATTAAAACACCGTTAGATCATTTAACCACGGTAAATCTTCAAGGAACGTCGTTAGGAACGGCGGATGAAAATATCGTTCAACAACAATATCATCGTAATAAATATAATAAATATATGTAAGAGTTCAGCGGGAAAATCTGTTTAGAAAATGGAAAAGAATTGCAAAAATATTTCAATTTTGAAATTTATAGTATCATTGAGCAAAAAATATATACTCGTACGACAAACGTACGATCAGGGTGGCTGAAAAATGACTCGTAGAATGAAAATGTTGGTAAAAAAAAAAGTTGACCCTAAATGTAGTGAGAAACCGCTAAACAGTAAGTGACGAATGCTAAAGTTTTCAGAAATATAATAATTTAGCTCAAGTCAAACGTTGGCCTATAAAATCATGTGTACAGGTTGGAAGTAAAAAAA